GGGGGGGTCCATGCAACGACCTGCGTTGGCCAACTGAAGTATTAGTCAGTGTTTCCATTCTCCCAGACGAGCCTGGTAGCAATTGACCGATCCGCCGGATGGAAAGCCTGGTTGGCCCAGGCGGATATCAACTTAGGATTCGAACCCGTGACCCTGCATGTGTGAGATGCGCCTTTTGCCACTACACCACCTCCGCTGATGGTCTGCCTATAAGCCCATTGTTAGCTCGGAATAATGTTGATATGTGGTGTGGTATAGCCTCAACTGAAGATCAAGATAGCAAACCTACTAAGTTCTGATTCTTTTTTCTCATAAGTGAACTTATAGGTAGACTTTCTTTACAGGTCAGCGACATCACGCAACAGTGCTTTGAGCCCGGGGCCCAGATGGTGAAATGCGATCCCCGACGAGGAAAGTATATGGTAACACTGTCTCACAATTGATTTAGTTGTTCATATAAAAAGACATGTCAAATTATTAGACACCATTTTGTGCTCTACTTACTCCATTCGTACTTCGTACTCCATCGTACTTCGTCTCTATGCTCGTTCTACCCGTAAGGACATCTTCTCCAACGACTTCTTTTTCATTCTGCTATCATTCCTATTGAACCTGGTACGCATCAAATTAAAAATATCGAGGGAGTAATGAAGAAAACGAAGGTGGTCCGACTCACCGCCTACCTTTTCAACACTGCGGTCCATCGAGAGGGAAGCAGTCAGTGTCATTCAACGCCATGCGGCAAGATAATGCTTGGAATTTTTGTATACACGTAAGTGTAGAAGGTGATCCGTAGTCCCGAGCTCCGTCAAAGGACGAAGATCGGTGATGCCGTTCCTTACGCCAAGGAATCGAAGATCAGCTGGACAGGGCGCGTTATGCGATCTCGCGATGACCGTTAGACCAGGGCGGTTACAAAATGGATAGCTCGGCACGTCAAACGAACACCAGGACGATCGCCGCCACGATGGTCAGACTTCTTCACGAAAGCTCCGAACGAAAGGAGTGCTACGCCTCGTGTCTTTCGAGGTAGAACGAATTAGTGGACTACTCCAGCTCGCTACAGGGCCGAATGGAGATATTACTGGCGCCGATGAGAGGCACCCCACAAAATCTGCAGGCACGAGATAAATTATCGGAATGACGGCAGGAACTGATTCTAGAGTTCTCTTCCGAGAGTTGCTCATAAAATTTTACCTTAGGGTCAAAAAGATTCTCCGGTACCACTTTCTGAGCAACTAATTGAAGTGAACGCTAGCTACTGCCCAGCCATCGAAAGTAGCCAAATGTGTGTGCATTCTACATTCTTCGAATCTCCGAAACGCAATGTGGAGCTTAGAATATTGACCATATTCACAAAATGTTATGTTTGTAAACTACTCTTCTTCTGCCTATCCATTTCATTTTTGAGTTTCTACCAATCCCTCCGTTGCATCCTACACTGTTTAGCCCCTTTATTGCTTCTCGCTGCAAACAGCACCACGATAATCTCATTCACATACTGTACTGCTCAGGCTTGTTGTCTACTCTTCCGAGGCGACGTGGTACCAAAGGATGTAAACGCGGCTATTGCTGCTGTAAAAACGAAACGTACAATTCAATTCGTAGATTGGTCACCCACCGGCTTCAAGGTAAGGCCACCTACCCAATCGGCGGTTCAGAATGGAAGAAACCTATTTCAGGTTGGCATCAACTATCAACCACCCACGGTGGTACCAGGAGCCGATCTCGCGAAACTTCAGCGTGCAGTCTGTATGCTTTCAAATACTACGGCGATTGCAGAAGCTTGGGCAAGACTTGACCACAAATTCGACCTGATGTATGCAAAACGAGCATTCGTTCATTGGTATGTGGCCTCGTTCTACATATTTTAGGTATCAGACCATCAAAAAATTCTCATTTCAGGTATGTTGGAGAAGGAATGGAAGAAGGGGAATTCAGTGAGGCCCGAGAAGACTTGGCGGCTCTCGAAAAAGACTATGAAGAGGTCCTACTTTCAATATTTATCAAATATACAAACATAAATCTAACTCCGTTTTATAGGTGGGAATCGATGCATCAGATGGAGAAGAAGACGACGAATACAGTCAATATTAACGTCAACAAATTCTCCCGCTAAATACGTTCGACGGCAACGAAGTCTACGTGATCACCATGAAAATGCTTGTCATATTCCGCCGTAAATAACCCGAATAAATAAATAAAGATCTTGAGTGAGAATCAAACTAGCAAAGGGACTTAAATAACTATCTAATTTAGCTATCTAAAGCACCGGGTATGGTGTAAATGACATCTGGCTTGAACCCATTGATTAAAGTTAACGTGAAAGGAAGAAACAAGCTAAATTAAGTGAAGAGTATAAAATAGGAAACAATTTTAGTCAAAACAACCAACAAACCTGCAGCTGTGAGCCAGAAAAGTGAGCCAGTATTAGCCAAAAAACAATGTCGATACTTGAAGTCACACTAAACTTTACTTAACCTAGTACAATGTGACAGGATCATCGAAACTGTCATCACTATGAATTTCGTACTCAGAATCCTCAATTTGAGGAGAATCTTCGTACAAATCATTTTCTTCTTGTAGAGAACTTCGTAATGAATTCTTGAAAGAGTTTTCTCTGAAAAAATACCATAACCAAAGGCAACTAAAGAAGAACACGTGCATAAAGAATCTTTCGAATCACAATAACTTCAAATTAGGCAAGCATTCATTACCTGGAGAGAGCCATTTGATATGCTGGATCAGTGGACAACTGATGGTCCCATAGGTCCCGACTCGTACCCCATGAAAATCTCCACGGCCTCGTAAGGTAGCTTACCAGCCGATACTGGCTACCCGTTAGCGACGGCTTTATCATGGAGAGGTAAGGCACATATCTGAACGTATAATTCTCATTGAGTATCGGGAAAAGGATAGGCCAATCTCGCAGTTTTTACTAAGTTCGCAACGCCTCCGCATTGGTGAGCGGATTACAGCGAAAGAGAAGGCACTGACACTGAAAAATTTCAATGCCACTACATGGGCGAAGCGGTTTCAGGTTGGCCTTGCATTCAGAAAAAAAATGATCTCAGCTCAACACGGTACCAGTAACAGCTCAAATGTGGAAGACGCAACAGTCTAAAGGTGTCATAAACGGAGTCCTGGTTTCATGAACACACATTTAATAACTGCACCATCTGGTACCAAGTACCACCATATGTTATTTTCTCTATTCATGGAGTGGACAAAGCAAACTGTGCAAACAGCATACATCCAGAATGAAAATCACTCACATTTCAGCAAAGCGTCCATCAGACGAACCAGGTAATCTCAAAACTTCGTTCAATTCACGTTTCAATTGTGTTGTCTTTTCGTCCAATACACTCCACTGCGGGCGCCTGTATGCATAGAAACCGCGCGCTATCCCTTAAATAAAACTATAAAATCGATTCAATAGCATTTTCAATTTTAGCTTGCTCACTATTCGCCTTGTAGTTGTAGAAAATTGTAGCGCGAGCGCATATCTGAAGATAAGCACTTCGAAAATCAAATAGAGGAACTTCACAATCCAACAACAAGTAAGGGAAAAGGATCGCACGAGGGAAATACCTGAGAAGAATACTCTTGGCTAATGTGACGTGTCTCCCACATCTGAGACAATGCATCACTCACGGACATTGCATCGAGGACCTTACGAATGGATGATATCGAGCCCGAAAAATTCGGTTCATGCTCATGCAAAAACATCATGACCTGAAAACAGCGGCAAAACGAAAACTTTGAAAATTGGTCAGAATATTTCTCACTGAGTGATTACTTTCAGCATTCACCGTTTCTGCCGAGGCTCTCGACATTGAAAGAGTATCGTTTATTGCTCTAGTAGGAGCAGGTCGACGTAGGTCTTCTCGCACACCTAACTCTACATCAGGATATTCTGTTTCGCTCTGGCGCTTCGCATAAAGCAATGAGCCAAGCATATGAAATAGCTGAATTGCATGAATTCAATCAGTAGAATAAACAAATCCAACGCGACCTTACCTCGTCCGTGGAGGCAACTTCAAAAACGTCAGGTATGGTAAACTTCTCCTGGCAACATTGAAGTGAAAACTGAATAATGTTAATGGCAGAACGAATATCTCCTAAAAAGGTAGCAGTAGTGGAGGACAGTCAAACAGCATCAAAAAGCACCTACCGTTAGCGATCTTCTCAACGGCACGATAATCATGTGCAGTGAGCTTAAATGAGATTTTAAGAGCAGACTTGAAAGGGAGGTGTAAGGAGGTCCACTAGTGAGCCGTTCAGTTACTCAGAACAGCTTTTTACGACAATTCTGGGAACTACTGACCACTGAGAGTGAAGCGGGTAAGCGGTTCCCACCAGCTTCACCCCTAGCTCACAGATATTCCTTCAATAAGGAGAAATGACCTCGAAGAACTCGACCCAACAAAAGCTAGGGACCTGTGGACAGGTTCTACTGGACAGGTGTGAAAGATAAATGAGACATACTGACTCTGGAGCGGAATCCCAGGACATCTACTACTCTTCTCAATCCTTTGCGCATAAATGTATTCGCCACAGGATAAAAGTTTAGTTCCACAATGTTTAGACTCTGAAATCTTTCTGGATGATTTGAAAGAATTGAATTGAACGATACGGATAAGAGACCTCTCAAGGTCAGCACTCACATTAATAAAATGCTTGGGGAACACCCTTCTCGGAGACATGTACCAAGAAGAATCTCGTGCAGTCAAGTCAAAAACAACAAAGTGCTTGGCTTCAAACAGATAAGGGTAGATAAGACGCCGAAACTCGGCAGGATCTCTGTAAAGAATTGGCGTAGAATTGACAAGGAAATAGGCAAAAGCGTGCTGCATCTGAAGCAAAGCTCACTGGTATGCCAAGGCTGGCAAATCGTCAATGTGATACAACCTCCTCCGAGACTTTTCGAATCGATTTTTGGTTGGTAGATTACTGGACCGTAGAAATGCTATCAAAGAATTGAGCTCATTCTCCTGAAGAAAACCCCAACACTAATCACTTTCGAAGAACAATAGGATTTGCAGACTTACCTCCTTAAAAAAGGAGTTTTCCCCATAGTTCACAACTTCTACGTTCAT